ACCAAACCCACCAAATCCGAAATTCTTAACCTAAAAAATATAAAACAACTTTTCACTATTCATTAAACAATAAAATTTTCCTTTCATTCTACTTTAACCAAATATATACATAATTTAAATTGATAAAAAAAAAAATTCCCTTTTATACCGATACCCACTTAAATCATTAATCATCATATCATGTGTAACCAAACTATCTTATAATCACGTGAATAATAAATACAAAAAATTACGGGCGGCGGAGCCGCCCTAATTTCACATACTCTAGTTTAATATATGAATATCATTTACATAAAAAAGTTTGATTTTACTATACAGTATAGCAACTATTGACGATCTCAAAATGGGACAAATGTCTTTAAGTGTCGCACACTATACTTTTATTTTAAGCCTTTTGTACATTTATTAATTCTTAATTCTAATCTAAACACCCAAACTTTAAATGGCAACGAAAAAGCACTTATGATGACACGTAATTCAAATTAAAATAGGGAAAGGTTTCACTTGATCTAATATATTTATTATTAAAGAGATAATAATTTCTTTAAAATAATGTATAATTAGAATAACGTAAAGAATAATTATTCAAATAAATGGCTATTTCTAAAATTTTTTAATAACTAATTATAATTCAAAAGAATTTAATAAACTTTTAAAAAAAGAATGTTCAATTAAATATCAATTAAATATCAATTAAATACCAATTCAATACCAATTCAATATCAATTCAATATCAATTCAATATCAATAAATATCAATAAATATCAAAATATAAATAAATATCAATAAATATAAATAAATATCAATAATAAGAGTAATATTAACATTAAATCATACTCAGTTAAATTATTCTTCTTTCTTTTTTCCATACTCATCAAAGTTATCAACTTCACCAGCTTGTTTTTCCCAAACTTTTTTATCTCGTTTCTTTTTAGTATCAAACTGTTCTTCACTTGGAAATCGATGACTTCCACCAATTTTATCCCATATTGTAAAATATTGACCATAATTATAATTGAAATACAAATGGTGAAGTGTATGGTGTGCTGCACCATTGATAAATGATCCAGATGATAGATATTGGCCTATGATGTTAGAAAGATCGGTTATTAGATTGGAAAAAAATTTTTATAAATCTTGATATTAACAAGATTTGAAATTTACTTACCATCATGAATCAAAATCGTCCATAAATTAACAAATACAAATAAGCCTATATAAATGATCTTTTGCAAAGGAAATAAATAGACAAATAGATGATATGGACATGATTGCACATATCCGTCTAGTGGGTGAAAGGCATGAGATGAAAACGGTGTCGGGACTATATATGAAAAAAAAAATGTACAAAATGATTAGAACCAAGTATTGCATTTTATAACTGTAATGGTAAAATAAACCTATATGCGTATACATCATATACATATGTCTGCGTCAGATCAAAATTTAAATGCAGAGTTTTGTTAGGGTTAGGGTGAGTGCCTATGTTAGGTATTAGCGGAATTATAATGATTCTAATCTGACGCAGATTCTAATTTGACGCACCACATATGTAAAGTATATATTCAACGGATCCTAATGTTTGCCCGTGAACATTTCTGATGATTTAATGATGACGTAATGCCGTGAAGATACCAAAAATTATTCCACGGGCATTACGTCATCATTTAATTCGTATATGTAAATAAAAAAAAACATACCAATCCAACGGTGATGAGGCTAAAAATAACATTAAACTTAATTAGAAATAACAATGTATAATAATGTATAATAATGACAATTAATATAAGACTACGTACCTTATGCAAAATTTTATAAATTAATGGAATATGTAGCCATCGATGAATCCAATAAATACACATATCGGTAAAGAATAAAAATAGTATGATTGAAAATATTCCATAAACTATTCCATAATCATTAATATTATCATATAATTTTGAATAGCCTCGAACTTCACCAAGGAACCAAGGAAGCGTTACCAAACTAGTAATTGGGAATCCTGTAACTGAAAGTGTTATCTCTTTACGTATTTGATTTTTCAAAAATTTTGGATGTTTCATTAATTCTTTATCAAATACAAAAAAGTATGATAAAGTAGAAAAGAAAAAATAGAAAAAATATGCAAAGAAATTTGTTAAGAAGAAAATTGATATGAATTGTCGGTAAATGTTGTCACGTGGAAGTGCACTTTGTAAATTTGTAGTAATAAAAGTGGTATTATCCGTTATTGGATAAAAGCGAGCATAAATGCTATCAAGGAAATATTCATCTGCGAAATTTAATGCAATGTCTACCATACTTAAGAATATACACTTTCGTTAGATTTTTGGAAAAATTAAGTAAAAAAAAAAACGTTTTTTTTTTTAAAAGAAAATTTTTATGATTAACCTCGCACAAAGATCGTACAACAATCGATTTTATTCGATAATGGCATGATTAATGTCACATGTGTTATACAATTTTATATATATCGGTATAATTTTCTTGGTGAGTTTACACAAATAAAGGAAAAAGATTTAAATTTGGTATTCATTTTAATTGTACCGTAGTGCACTGACCAAAGTACCCCCCTTTTTGCGTACCCCCCACTCAAAAAACCCGGGTACTTTGTATAGCATTTTTTTTTTAACCGTGGATAATACCCGGGTATTTTGCATGGCATTTTTCACGTTAACACATATTGATTTCTGCATTACATATATAAGACCGTACAAAGTACCCCCCATACAAGATACCCGTCATCGATCAAGATACCCACGGGTACTTTATAAGTTTTTTTTTGGTTAGATTGTATTGGACCCCGGGTACTTTGGTCAGTGCGCTACGGTAATCGAGGAATCAATTATGGGATTATGTAAATTTATATATCATTTTATAGAAAACCATTTTAGACATTCATTTCATAGACAATCAATTCATTTTGAAGTCAATTACAGTTTACTTTATACAATTTATTTTACAGAATGTTCATTCCATAAACAATCTTTAACAGTTAATAACTCCTGATCTACTGGTCCTTTTTGGATAGTTTAATTATCAAAACGATACTTTAACTCATCGATACTCGAAAATATATCTAAACAATATAACGTTAGTGAGTGCAAGATCTAACGCTAATTTCAGAGGCTAATTACGTACGTACATACATATGTCCGTACGACATTCCTAGTATTCAGGGACAATGGTACAAATTGCTCGGTTCGGTTTATAATTAATGGTTTCCTAATCTTCACTTCTGCAAACTTGAGTGTTACCGTTACTTAATTTGATTAAAATGGAATAGTTTTTACGTAAGGATTTCTTAGTTATGATAATTTTATTTGACTTATAAGAATGTTTTCAATAAGGCACCCAAAAGACAGTATATAATCAAAAGAAGACAGCTTTGATTCACAGAATAACAGTTTTTTATGATTCGAAAATCTTTATAAAGCGCTCGTAAAAACTCGCACAATATTAAAGTGTCAATTTTCTTTCTATCATTATAATTGGGTCGAATTATCCTACAAGTTGATAAAATATCGATTTAGTTTAAATTTTTATAACTACAACTTTTATTAAATACAAGTGTATCCCGACTAACTAGGGTTGTTAATGGGTTGGGTTGATCCAATCTTCAACCCACTCCACTAAACTAGACTTATTCCAATGTTTTGCCCCATAGTACTCCGGGTTGCTGCTCCAGGTCAGGGACGATGATTTTCTGCGGTGATAAATAGTCAATTCCGTCCGTGATAAAATAAATTTCTGCATAATTCCGTGCTCCAAATTATTGGAATATTTCGGAAATTTTAGCTCGACCACGCTCGTCTTTTAGGTTAGTTTATTTTCTACATCGGGACTTTTCGAACCGTATATTTTTGGGATTGTTTACCTATAAATCCCTACATTCCGTGATATTTCCGTGCCATATTCCTACTTTTTGCGGCAATTCCGTGCTATTTTTGACGCATTCCGTGTTTATCCACCGATTACGTGATTCTGCGGCATTCCGTGAAACGCAGAAAATCATCGTCCCTGCTCCAGGTTGTTCCAAATTTAAAGGCATAATTTTAAACCCACTCCAACTTAAGCTACTCATTAACAACCCTAACTCCGACCAAACAAATGGGTAAGGGTATAATTAAAAAAACAACATACTAAACATTCTTAAAATTTATTAATAGAAATATTTAAAGCGAATATAGAAAATATTGCTTATATAAAAGAAAGTTAATAAAAAAAGGAATCATAGGCGGTTCGACTATTTTATGAACTAGCAATCAGAGTATCAAACGAAAAATTGATTAACAGCAATTAATATTGATATATAAGCTTACATGGGACAAAATCAAGTGTCAAAGAATAATTTTCCTTGTAAATAACCCATGTTTATAAAGTATATATGATAAATTACGTAATGAAGCAATTTCAAAATAGCGTCTTAATTTGCCGACATAACACGCTCAAAATAGCGCGTAGGTTTATTTTTTTAGCATATAAGGTTCCTTAACACTTCATATCAAAATTTTCCTATTGCATTTTTTGTAAAATCAAATTTTTATTTGATCATTGCTTCATATTATACGACATATAATATGCAAGACAAAAGCAAGTTGTTTTTTTTTAAGGAAAAAAAATTCGAACTGCAAACTATAGCAAATAAAGAAAATTTGGTTTCTTAATTTGTTAAAGAATTTTCTCGCTTTTTAACAATTTTTTTCATAGCAAGAACAATGCATAAACTGAAAGTTTCCTTTTATTGGAACATCGTTAGATTAGGTAAAATAACACTTCATTTTAAGTTATGTTGATGCGACGACGGCTAACATTATCTTCGTACGGAAGCTAAATTCGAAAAAATTTATATAAATATAGAAAAAAAAAGAAAATATCAAAGATGCAGATTAATTACCTTAATTTCTAGAACACCTCGGTCATATCTAGCTTCAGCTTTTTCCGTGTTAACATTAAATGGCAAAGCGATAGATCGCTACATATAAAATTAAGATTCAGAATAATTCACATAAATTTATAAATTAAAAAAAAATAATAATAATTTACCGAGAAACGACCAAAGGAACGTTCACGAACGTATCCTGTAGCACTATCACAAGAATCGTCTGATGAAGATTCACCACTAATTATAAGATTGTCACCACGAATATCGAGGTTTATATTTTCTTTCGGAACTCCAGGAAGGTCGGCTTATATTTACAATATAAATAATATAATTAAAGGAAAAGTTATACAAAAAAAAAAAACCTCATCTAAATAATAAAGTTATACCATGCACGATAAAAGCGTCTCCAACATCACGAGCTATATAAAGAAATATCGGGTAAGGTAGAAGATTACTAAAGGTAAATAAAGATGAAAAAATAATTACCATCAACGCGAGGTTGAAAAGTAAGATCCGATCGATAAGTTGTAGGACTCCATCTCCCAGTATTAAAAGTGTCAGTTCGAAAATCGTTTAGAATCCTGTCAACATCACGACGCAAATGAGAGAAGGCATCGTCATAAAATGTGTCCCCCCAATAATAAGGATCACGTGTTGTCAAAGATCCAACTCGAGGACCAAAAGAGCCAAATGATGTCAATGCCATTGCGATTGTAATAGAGAAACAAAGATTAAAAAAGATTAACAGTAGTGTTTTAGACACTTCTGAAAAATAGCTATCAACCGAAAGGATTGGAGTTGAAAAGAACGCCGTTTTGGTTAGTATATAGTGGATAGTGGATAAAATCCAAGTTTTTTTAAAGAAAGAGTAAACCTGCTATATTTATATGAAAAATTAAGAAGTTTCTAGTAAGAAATCTCGTCACTGTTATATCATAAGTAAAATACGTATATGCAAAAATAACGTATTAATATAATAAAAATAATTAACTGAATTTTAAGTTGGAAAATTTTCTAGCTTAAAAATATGATGAAATATTTATCTAAAATATACTTTGGTAATAAATTCAAAAATAAAATTTTATTTTTTCATTGTATGTCTCTTACGTACGTATAGGTACTATGTAAAAATTATTATTCTTGATATTCTTTGAAATATATTGTTTAATCATTTTCATCATGAAGATTACGCGATTTTTACGTAGTATATTTAAAATTTTTTAAATTTTAATAAATTCAATTGATTACTAGATTTTTTGTTTGGGTTTCTTAAAACAAAGCATGTAAAATTGACTAAGTGCATTTTAGCAGTCCTTATAATCGTGAAAACATAGATTGCATTTAGACTAAAACGTACGTACGTACATACTGATGCTACGTACATACTACGTATGTAATATTATATAGAGATTATTAAAACTACATGTATAACAGATAATGATAACAGATAACAAAGTAATATCATTGCTTTCTGTCCAGGTACGTACGTACGTAAGTATGTACATACACATGTATATATCTGATATTCTAAAGACCGTCAGTACTGCGTCATATACGAAGAAACCGTTATATAATATAATTGCTATATAATTAACTATTAATTTCAACTTCATGCCATTAGGCACCCTTATTGAAATTTTATGGTTCTATTGAGGTGAATGAACGCGAGTATATTCAATTATGTCACGTGACCGTACTAATGTTTCCTCTATGTCATACCTGATACGTAATTGCATAGAATGATCTACAGGTCAAATAATCCCAAGACTTTTGTGTCATTTCTCCAAAGTACTTACCGATCCGTTCGATCTACTCATAAAAAAACCATGAGTGACATCGAGCTGAGTCAAATATCTACGCTAAAATACTTATACGAAAAGGGTTCAATTAAACTGCGTGTGTCAAGGAAATCAAAATGTATGCTGTTTTAATAAGTCCTGATCTCGTTTTTTTTTTTTTTAGTTAAAGGTCACTGAATATTATTAAATATTATTAGCCCAATCCATTCCCTCTTACTCTTATAATGAAACATTTAACGAAAAAATCTCTCTCATGTGAGTGTATTTTTCTTTTTGGAAGGTAATATTCTAGGCTGATCTAGACTGACCGTTTTATTGTCATTTTTTGTTTTAACAGTCAAACCGATATTACGAGACTAAAGGTCGATGCGATAGGTTAGTTTATCTCATTTTACAATGTTATCACTGAGTCATTGCTAATAACTTTTTCTTTTAAATTTATGCTATTTATTAGTTAACGCCGCTAATGAGTCTCTTTTAGGCGGTGGCGGAGGTACTATTTTCCGTTCACAGTATTAAACTTATTGATAATCCCCATTTGTTAATTTATTCAAACCTTTTAATTTATATAGTGGATGGTGCTATCCACAGGTAAAATTAATTTTTAATTTATCAACTCTTTGTTCTTACCACCTTTCATTTTACTTTCATTCATCTCAATTTCACCTTTGTTTCATCTTTATTCTTGATTCGTTGTTCTTTTATTAGAGCTGCTGGACCCGGCCTTCGAAAAGAATGTTGGGATTTAGATGGTTGCAGAACTGGGGTGATTATTTAATTTACCTTTATATTATTTAATTCTTCGGGAATCTCAAAATTTTCAATTTTAATTTATCTCACAGGATGCAAAAATAACTAAAGGTACATTAAATGTTTGAAAGTTTTTCTTGTCACATAATTCCTTATTTTTAAACAAGTCTTTTCTAATTTTTTTTTCTTTACAGGTTATGATTTACCAGCTAAACGTATGTACTTCTTACATATATGTATATATAGGCTAAATGCTAGTAAAAGGGGTGAAATGGTTAAAATAATAATAATAATAAAATCTGTAAAAATCAATTTTTTATATTATAAATGTTATATAATAAATTTCAAGAAAATAGAAACTTTAAAGTGTTATACTGCAAGATTTTATTAATATAATTATTTTTCTATATTCCAAATTGATTTAATGCAAATATATATATATATACATATATACATACATATTTTGAAGAAATTCATACTTTCTCCCCTTTGATAGCGTCTAGCTCATATGCATTCATTCATATACTTTAAAAAAACAACCTCTATAATTTCATCGTTATATATCATTTAGATGTTATTCATACTGTTGGTCCAATTGGTGAAAAGGAAGTTCTTCTTCGTAGTGCTTATGAACGATCTTATCAAGTTATGACTGAAAATAATATAAAAAGCATAGTGAGTTATTATCTCGTTATATATATATATAGGTATATATAAATACAAACTATTTAATTTAAACAAAATTATTTATTTGGTTACATTTCAAGGCATTTTCAAATATTAGTACAGGTTTGTTTCATATTCATATTTCGTAAATTCATTTAGTTATTTATTTATTTATTTATTCATCATTCATTTATTCATTTATTCATTTATTTATTCATTACTTTTTTTTTTTACCCTATTTTTTATTATTGATAATATTAAAAGGTGTTTATGGGTATCCACGTTATCCTGCTGGTCGTGTTGCCCTCGAAACCACAAGGAAATGGATGGAAGATCACCCTAATCTTGAGGAGGTTTGTTTACTATCTTTTGTATTCTAAAAAAAAATATATATATATCCATTATGCTAGATTTTAGAATTTATTAAAATTTATGTTAAAAT